ACCTATCTAGATTTTGAGGTACGATTGTAATTGTAATTATCTTTAATACCTGAAGATTGAACAGTTCTGTCAGGAAATGCTTGAGTCAATAAACATTGGTAAAAATTAACTTGTTATGATTATAAAATTCTTTGGACTTTTCATAGTTAAGTGAAGATTTTTGTTTTTAGAATGAAAAACTCAATTAAAAAGCTATTGCAACTCTTTTTAATTACAGAAGTTAGAGTTATAATACACATTTAATTGATTTTACATAATTTTAATTGATTTTATATAATCAAGTCTGACTTACTTATAAGACCAGTTTTTAGTTTTGCTTATTAAACTTCTCCTAATCATAGTAAAAGTGAAAACAATATTTACATTTAACCAAGAAATTTTATAAATCTTTCAAGTTTCATGCTTTTTTTTTGTTTTGTCCTATCAGTACTATTAAAACATATTTACTTGTGTAAGGGATCATGAATATGAATTTGAAATAAAGTTGCTGTTGCTACTGCCATGTTTTTAGATCTCTAGAAACCTGATTGGAACCTCTTCAGTGCTCTGTAGAAGTTCCACTGTTGCTGCTCAGTAGCCTTATTCAGGTCTGAGAGTATGGCCAACTAGGAAAAGCATGCCTACCCTGTTCCAGCCTTACCAAATGAGATTAGATAAGTCCTAGTCTTTGAATTCTCCTTTGCATTAAAGTTTTCTGAACATATAACAACTTTTTGTGACTGCCTGAGATACTTTTCTTGGGATCTCCCTTTCTCCTTCTAGAAAATCAGGTTTTAAAAAGCAAATTTGGAATATTAACCTGAGTTCTTGCCACCTCATTCATAAGTCACTTTGTTAATACTAAGGCTCTTGGATTGGACTAATTTCATAGATATCAGAGAAAAAGTAATTGTTAGGGATTAAATATATATCTGTCATTTTCTGGAGTATATCTGAAGTTAGATGTTCCACAGTTTCGAGGATAAGAATGAACCCAGAGAGCAAAAGAAGTCTAGGTGTTTTTTTTTTTTTTTGAAGTTTATAAATATTCACATGAGACACAGAGTTTAGCAAGGAGAAAACTGTAGCTGAAATGATAGACTAAGTAAAAAGTTTTGAGAATACTAATGATTAAAAATGTGTTAAATTTTTTAAATGAATGAATAAAAAGGGGGAGTGTAGGCACAGAGTTCACACTACTGATAGTAAAGCAAGTATATAGAATCCAACACTGAAATTGCTCCTTATCTTTATTTTATCAATTGTGTTGATCTAATTTAAAACTAAACTTTGACTATTCCATATGAACACTGTGTTTTAGTCAGCTTTTTTTGCCACTGTGACTGAAAGACCCCATCAGAACAATTCTAAAGGAGGAAAAGTTTGCTCACAGTTTCAGAGGTCTCAATCCATACACAGAAGGCTCCATTCCTTAGGGCTTGAGGTGAGGCTGAATATTCTGGTGGAAGAGTGTTGCAAAGTGAAGCAGCTCACATGACAATCAGAAAGCAGAGACAGAGAATCTACTCACAAGATACAAATATATACCCAAAGCCATGTCCTCAATTCCCACCTCCTCCAGCCATACTCTATCACTTCAGTTACCACTCAGGTTAATCACTATCAGGGGATTAATTCACTGATTGGGTTAAGACTCTCACAACCCAATCATTTCTCCTCTGAACCTTCTTACATTGTCTCACATGTGAGCTTCTGGGGGACATCTCATATCCAAACCAGAACACACTGCTACATTTAGTTTTGGTATTTCTTTGGTTAATTATGTAATAAAACTTAACTTTTGAAAGGCTTTTCTTTGCCATCCATGCAACAAAATCTGAAAATACTTTTATTAGAGAGTTAAAAATATTCTGTAAGTCTTAAAGGAAGAACTTTTTATGACTGCATCGAGCGTACTTTTCTTTCTACTCTTGTTTTGGTGATTAAAACAATAACAAAACTCAAATTTTAAAAATTGTGGTCAAGCCAAATTGTATGATTTAGTGCATGAGTGCACTTTAGGACAGTGAAATGTACCCTATTTAATATAAAGTATCCCCTGAGTATTGATTCTTACTTTTACCTCATTAATGAAGCACCAAGATTTAAACCTCATTAGGTTACATGTAATGTAATTAGTGTCCAATAAATGGTGGTACTTTTGAAGGATCAATGCTTGCATTAGACTGTGGTTAAAGTGACGTATAATCCAGAGATTAATTCAATGACAGTGTGGCCCAATTCTCAGCCATATAAATATGAAAATCTGTCCGATTCACAGAAGATTTAGAATTTTGCCTCAAATGGGAGAAGAATGGGACTGTGTAGGTCCAGAGTAAAGGGTCTATTGGACATAGGGATGTCAATGACAGAAGGTGGGTTGAGTGCTAATCATGCCATTTCCACAAAACATGGGGTCCCTCATAAATACCCCAAAGTACCTTCCCAGTGCTCCAGACAGGGCCCAAATTACTACCTTTGAGGACATTGAAAACATAAAATTAGTTAAAAGATTACAAAATCTAAGGCCTGGTTGTGTTTGACTTGTCACTGAGTAAAAATAGAAACATCAGAATAGAATGTGAAATTCAAAAAAAGAGCATTGAGTATCATCGTAAGGATATCCTGTTATGTGTACCCTGTACTTCATTCCTTGCCCTAAAGCCATTCTGTTTAGAGACATGTTCTGTCATACTGAAAAGATTTACTGAGCCCATGCAGTAGAGAGATAATTCTAGGCTCCTTGTCCAAATGTCTATAGAAATCTTACCTAATTAAATCATAAGCATAAAACAGAATGTTTACCATGCTGGTCTCAGAAATGAATATAACAAGGCATATTATGAAAACACTAAAATTAAAAATTTAAATGTAAATTTGAGGATTAACTTGGAAGAATATATTATATTCCTAAAGTAAGGTGTAATCCTCCACTTGTTATTCTTCACATTTTCTAGAAGATAGGCAAGTGGCCAAGAAAATTAAGACAAAGAAAAGTTTAATAACATTTATGATGTAAATCTGTAATAACTCTTCTACCACTTCTAACATCAAAGTAATGCATTCAACAGCCTAATGATTCAAATATAGATATAGATTTTAAGCAGTAATGGAATTAATGTTAGTAATAGCTTTTTTCATTTTGAATTATTTGATGATTAGAGTCATGAGTTTAATATTACATTAAAATATATGGATGTGTTTGAAGTAGTAATTTATAAGATTTTAATCATAAAGATTGTTCACTTTACATATTCTATTTTGTTTCATGGTCTTAAAAAACAGATTATTTAAAAATATAAAATTCTTCTCAAGCATCTCAAAAGCTTAAAGATTGTTCACATAACTGTTTTTATACTAGCTAGTAGGGATTATTTTTCTGTTATTTTATAAATGGTAAGTCTCATTCAATATTACAAGGGAAACTTAATTCAGGTCTTACTCTTGTTTTGTAGCATTTTCTTTTTGCTACACTGGGGATTCAACCCAGTGGCACTTTGCCACTGACCTAAATCCCCAGCACTTTTTACTTTTTGTTTTTGAGACCGTGGTCTTGCTTAAATTCCCTAGGCTAGCCTTGAACTTTCAATCTTGTTGCTTTAGTCTCCCGAGTTGCTGGATTTATCCGCATGCATCACTGTGCCTAGCTTAGAGCATTTTCTTCTCAGGTGATGTCATATGTCTTAAACAGTTGTCTTCTGCTAATGAGCATTTCAATAATCAAATCAAACCCTGGGCATAAATGCTTTTAATATTCACAAAAATTCTCCCCCTACATTTGTTTTAGATTGACTTAATGTCATTGGCAGAAAATTAACCGTATCAAAATAGAGTTATACACTGTTGTATAATAGATTACCCCAATATCTAGCAACTTAAAAAAACAAACATTTACCTCACACATTTCCTAAGGATTTGGAGAGCAGAAGTTCCTTATCTGGTTAGTTCTGGCTTAGTATCCCTCATGGGATTGCTGTTGCAATGTTAACCAGTGCTATAGTTCCTAAGGACTTGACTGAAGCTGAAAGTCTTGCTTCTCATTTTACTCACATGACTGTGAGGAGATCTGGGTCCTCAGCAAGTGAATTTCTCAACAGGTTTGCTCAGGACAGAAATGGTTTCCCTGAGAGAAAAGGGGAGAGGGAGGAGGGGTGGGTGAAGTGAGCAAGAAAAGAAGAGCTCAAACTGGAAGTGAAGTCTCTTCCATGACACATCTCAAAACTGATGTATCGTCAGTTTTCCCACACTGTCTTGACCTCACAGATCACTATTATTACAAGGTGAAAAGGATGTACACAGAAGGTATCTACCAGAAGGAGGAGTTTAGAGTACATAGTATTGTTCCAAGTAGAAGTTTTTTTTTATTATTCAAATAGATTAAAATAAATGATGTCATTTTTAAGTACATCAGGACCTGTCATATTTTAAAACAATTAGTAACCCTGTTCTAGGGGTCACTATAGTCTATAATCTTCAAATGGCTTAGTGTAAATGTAGCATAAAGGAATTTCCTAATTTTTTATTTTTTAAAAAATTGCTTCTTATCTTCTGGAGAGTTTAAACCAACTCCTCTGTTTAGTATTTAATTTAATTAGTCTAATTTAATTTAGTATTTAAATTTAATTTAGTATTTAAATCTAACTCCTCTGTTAATTTCAAAGAAAATAAACCTAAGTATGCTTTTGTTTTAAGAAATATCTAAATGTTTTCTTATGTATGTTTTGTCTTCCCCAAAAGTATTTAATGACACTAATAACCTATTAATAAATTTTATCTCTTAATGATAAACTTCTTTATTCTGTGTTTTTATTTTTGCAAAGTTTCAGCATGACTTCTTTTTCTCCAGATATTTGAAATGAAAATTATTTCATTAGTAACTTTAATTCACACCTAAGTAGGATTGATGTTATATCATAGGTTCAAAGATTTCTTTAATGACTTTAATATAGTCTATTTGCTATAGAATTTCTTTTCATTTTCTTAAGATAATAGAGACATAACTTTATATCTTTTTATTATAGGTCTCCTAAAAATCCAGAGCAAAAAATAATCAAGAGAGTGATTGCTCTTGAAGGAGATATTATAAGGTAGGTGCCCAGACTGTGGTTTTTGAGTTTGAGTTTTAAATACCTAGATTTTTAAATTTAGTTTTAAATCACAAAGCTTTGGAGGTATTCTACATGAGCTGCTACAGCTTCAGTAAGCTCATTAATCATTTTGGGATGGCATGCATCCATAAACTTATGGATCATGTTATTACTTTTAAATTGTAAAGCTTACAAAAAATAAATATTAATTAAACTAAAATTAACCACAAACTTTGTGGCTGTTAAATCATTTTATTTAGGTATGCAAATTAGCACAATTATTTGAATATTATTATATTAATGTCCATTTTAGAAGTATTCAAGAATATTTTATGATTTATAAAGCAAATACAGAAACTAATAGCAATCTTTAATGATCATGAAGATGGGGGAGAAGCTTCAAAGAATATAAAATATAAACTTATGAATTAATGACAATAGAAGTTTTAGATACTACTTTAATAATAAGATATTTAAACAATATATAGTACTGTCTCATTTATTCTACTTGCTGATAAGTTAAGAACATAACTGATGTGATTCTGCAATCTGTATACGGGGTAAAAATGGGAGTTCATAACCCACTTGAATCAAAGTGTGAAATATGATATATCAAGAACTATGTAATGTTTTGAACAACCAACAATAAAAAATTTAAAAAAAGAACATATTTCAGGTTGAGTAAATATATAGTAATATGGAATGCTGTATTTCACTTAGACTGTTTATTTTAAATAGACTGTAAACAGTTCTATATAATGTAGTAGCCAAAATGCTTTGAAAACTATTCTCTTGAAGTTTCCTGATTCTGTTTTACCAAGAGTTTCCATCCTATAAATCTGTATTAATGATACTATAGATAAAGCAATCTCATTAAAATGAATCTCAGTCAGTATTAGAGCAGAATCTAGACCAGGAGTTCTCAAAGGATGGCTTTAGGATACCTGAGGATCCCTAAAACCCCCTTAGGTGGCCTATTAGATCAAAACTTTTTTTCCCAGTAATGCTAACATGTTATTTGCCCTTTATATTCTCATTTTCTTGTGAATGTACAATGTAATTTTCCAGTTGTGTGATATTGTAATAGATTAAAGGCAGAAGCAGATATGAAAATTCAGCTATTGTCTGTAAAATTAGACACTTTAATAAGATTTACAAAAATGTAAAAAAATGCCCCTCTTCACTATTTTCTCTTTTGTTTTAGAAAATAAGTTTTTCATTCAAATATGTTTTTATGACATAGTTATATTTCTGTCATTTTAAATTAAATTATCAAAAAGACTTTAAAAATTTTTCTCCTAATTTTCAATATGGTAAATATTGGTACCTAGTATCAACATAAACACAAATTTTGAGGGATTCTCCATATTTTGAGTCTAAGGCCTCTTGAGAGCAAACAATTTATGTACTTTTCAATGTAAGGATTTATGGAAAAAAGTTTCACGTCAGGATTAAATGTTCATTAGTAGCCTGCATGATATCAGTGAAACTATTATATTGAGCTGTGCTTTAAATTCATGATTTTTTGGGGTGGGGGGTCTATTTCTTTTAAAAGTTTGAGATATAATTTAAATATTAATCTGTGAATATCCAAATATACTTTTAGTATTGGAAAACAGAGTGTAGATATGCAATCCCACTAAACTCCTATGTAGAATCTAGTACTATTTTTGAAAAATAATTTAAAAACCAGTTGTTTTTCAGCATATGCTGTTTTTAAATAAAATTAAAAATTTATTTTCTTTGAAACTTTTTTTTAATATTCATTTTTTAGTTGTAGGTGGACACAATACCTTTATTTTATTTATTTATTTTTATGTGGTGCTGAGAATCAAACTCAGGGCCTCACACATGCTAGCCATAACTATTGCTGAGCCATAACTCCGGCCCTTCTTTGAAACTTTATTACTTATATATACTGGGATTCCTGGGGCTTAAATTAATAACTGAATATATTCCTACAATGATATCTAATAGTGCTGAAAAATATAATTGAGTATTTAGATAACAAAATATAATTTATAGATACATACTCTTCTGGACCCCATTTTTAAAAACAGTAGAACATATAAAAACATTTGTAGAAATATGCTTTCCAATTACCTCTACAAAACATTAGTCAAATAGTGACCCAACTGGTGACAGACAAAGTGCTTTGGACTATGATGTGGACTTTCTAGTCCTACCTTTCTTTTAATATTACTGGGTTACCTAGAAGGGAATGTAAGAACAAATGTGAATTACCATTTTTTTTCTTTCATAAAATTATCAAAGAAAAAACTTACTTTTTAGAATTTAGTTATACTTTCTGTACTTGTCAATATTATTTTTAATTCAAATCACGCATAATTAGAGGATAGAAAAAAAAACAATCCTTTCAGAGATTAGGCCTGTTAAAGGTTTAATCCAAGCTCCCATTAATATACTGCTAGTTAAACTCCTTTAGGTTGCTAAAGAACACACAAGAAAATCACCAGTGGGCAAAATAGGGCAAAAGGCAACTAAAATACCTATATCCCTGGAGGTACAGGATGTATCCATCTGATGACCACTGGTCAACCAATCAACTATCCTTGGGGTAGATGTCCTTCTCTGTCTAGTCATCTGTGACTAGGTAGACCAGTCACCTGGTGTATACCCTGTAGTTATAAAAAAACTGTTGCAAGGGCTTGTAGGTATGTCAGGTACTGTGAGGTATCCAGGAACAGGGCATTGCAATTTGCAGTCATTTTACTAAGCATAAGCATTTGAAACTTCAGTTCTATAAAACAGTTCTCTATTCTCATTAGTAGATGCTTTTATCTTACTTTCTAAGGAAGAAAAACATTTTTGTTTTTATTATAGAAATAACAGTCCTATTGAATTCAAAATGCTATAATGAACACACTTACACACAAAGCTTTGTGTCTTGTTTATTTTTGTAGAATAAATAGCTACAATTGAAAATACTAGGTCAAAGCATGTTGTTGTGTTTGGTGCTACTGTAATTCTAACTTAGACTGCCAAATTTCGCTCTGAGAAAGTTTTTGTATGTTTATATTCATCAACACTGTATGAACTACCCTTCTCAGAGGAAACTGATTTAAAGGTCATGTGCAAGGGGGACTTCAGATTCATAAGAGAAATCATATCAATCCAAATTTTGAAATTCATGTTAGATGATCAAGTTATATTTCATTTAGTCAGTTCACTGAAAGTATAGATGTTAGTGCCATTCATTTAATGAGCACTACTGAGATAACAAGAGATATTAGCAATTGAAAGAAACAAGATTCCTCCCCTCATGGTGCCTACATTCTAAGGTTTAAAGCAGACAGTAAGTGCTTAACATTTAACATGTAAATAGATAATAAGTAAACATATATATATATATATATATAACTTATAATGCAATATCATGATTGAGAAGTGCTATGAAGAAATATAAAACAGGAAAAGAGGTAGAGAGTAAAAGCAGGGGTGGATTTTACTTAAGAGGTTCCTTGGAAGTCTCTGTTACAAGAAGATGTTTGAGAAGATTTGAAAATAAGGGAAGAAGGAAATAGAACCATACTCGTATCAGGGAGAAAGATAGTTCAAAGCAAAAAAAAAAAAAAAAAAGCAATCCTAAAATGAATACTTACTAGATGAGCTGCTTAAGGAATTGTATGAAGCTACCATTTAAGGAAGGAAATTGAGGTAAGAGGTTTCTTCTGATAATTGTTTTCTTCTGATAATTGTTTCTTCTGATAATTGCCAGCCAGTGGAGGATTTACAACAGTGGAGTGGTATGATCTGACTGGATTCTTTAATAGATTATTATCTGCTGTGTGAGAATAAACTAGAGGCATGCAATCTGACTTAAATAACTGGTCAGAATATTTCTCCCTTGAAGAAGTAATTTCTATCTTCTGGTGAATGCAGTTAAGTACCCTTGTTTATGACAAACATGATGACTACTTTGATTTATTTCCAGTGAATCAGATAAAAGTAGTCACATTATTTATAATCACACTCACTATATCAATGAAGTGAAAATAGAGCTGAAGTGTTTGTTCAGAGAATTCAGCCAAGAATTCCCAAGATTTTAAAAGAGGACCCACTGGGAGTGTGGACTTTCTATCTCAATGCCAACATTGATTAAAATCACAAGGCAATGGCTCAATTTTCTGAATCTCTTAGCTAGCAAGGTAGTCGTTTTCATAATGTTGACCCAAATGGGTATGCTTATCTATAATACTAACAGTCAAAAGCTAATGAAAGTAATATTTAGACATACTCATTAGTTCCACCAAAATGCTGTTCATAGTTATTTGCTTTTTCTTATTAATTTGTTATGACTCACATTGAAGCACAGTTTTAAAAAAGCATAAAATGAATGTAAATCCCTAACCACAGCACATCAATGTGAGTCAGTCACAATTGAAATTTCTAAAGCGTCAACATTGTTTATTGGGACACTCATATTTCTGTTTCACAGATCTCTGCCCAGTCAGAAATGAAGCTCAGCATCATTTCTCCTCTTACTTGGTGAAATATACTTCACAGACTTTTGATATCTGGCGCTTTATGTTGTTACCAAACTCAATGAAGCAAGTAAATGGAGTCCTTTAGTTCCCAATGAAGAGGGCAAACATTTAATTTATCATCTAAACTAGGAGACTTTGTAGAGTGAAAAAGGATAATATTAATTACTGCATTGGGATAATCAAACATGAACCAGTGCTGCCAAGACAAACCACTGCAAATGGTCATCTGACAAGTAAAATACAGTCTACTTTATAATTCACTTCACATACATTGTTTTTGTTTCATTTGTGGCCCTCCTTGTGTTAGATGAATTCCAAGAAGTGTTCCCAGGAAACAGAATAACTTATTGGCCCCAGGGAGGCATTAGGCAGGGGAGAATCAGAAGTGTTCTGAGAAGCATGCCCTCCCACAACACAGTCCTACTGGAATGCACAGTGTGAGACTTTCTGTAACCCTTACTGATATAGAAGAACAGTCAGAGGGAGGGAATC